TTTCCGTTAATTCACCGGGTAATTCTCTTCTACCTTTTTTAATGAATCGGACCCTAAGGGACCGTGTTTCAAGAAAAACACAACACATGCACATGAAATGATCACGCCGGCAAAGAACAGAGTCATACAAAAACCAAAGCTATGTCTAGGCGGAGGAACAAAAAACTGGAAGCACTATACATAGTTGATGGAGAATTTCTAAGTTGATCGAGCCAGACCGGTCCTGTGCCACTGCATGCTTGATCACATTATATTTGTTTTCTTTGTTTTCCTCAGTATTTTGCTTTTGTATTATTTTTTACTTTTGATTTTTATCGGTTTTCTTTTTTGAAACTCATGTCTACTATTCCTCTCGGTATAAAATGTACATTTTTGGAGCACGCGTGAAATATTTTTTTGATTCACTTAGGATATTTTTCAAATACAGGATTTAATTTTCATTTATGTTTTGAGCACTTTCTTAAATACACATTAACATTTTCCAAATACATAATGTATAATTGTAAGGGCAATAAATATTTAGTAAACCCCATGAACATTTTTAAATCATATAAATATTTTTAGATATTTCACGGGAATTTTTTGAAATACATGAATATTTCTTTAGCCACATACATTTTTTAATGGACATTAACATTTTTAACCTATGGTCCATTTGTTTTACATTATATATTTCTTTGAAATGTCAGGGTCATTTTTTGAACCGCTGGAATTTTTTGTTAAAATGTCATGTACATTGTATTAATGGTACACACATTTTGTCACATTAAGAAGAACTTTATTTTTTTACATTGTATTCATTTTTCTGAAAATGTCGGAATATATATTTGAAACTTATGAGTGTTTTTAATGTAACCTACATATTTCTGGCGGTCGAACCAGGTGCACGGACTGACAAACACCATCACGTAGCACCTGGCAGGAGAGGACCTGCGTGCGGCCGATCGACGAACACCTGCTGACGGAAATGGTAACGGCCGGCTAATGCCGATCGATCCATCCGAGATCATCTCCATTCTTCATTCTGCCAGGTGCTACATATTTTTGAAAGGACGACAATTTTTTTCCGAATTATGCAAGCATTTTAAGTATACTGGATGAACATTTTATTAAATGGCACGTACACTTTAAAAACCTATTTGAACACGTCAAATTTTTTTGAATGTCACAAATATTTTTGGTGCCCATCATTGAGTGCCACAAACATTTTTTGCATGTCACAAACATTACAAGTTATTTTTACATAAAGTTTTATTAAATATTAGTCTTGCTTTTGAAAATGTTAAACGTGTATATATTTTTATGTATATGAAAAATGTAAAATGAGAATAAAAAAGTAGAAACTGCTAATCATGATGCAAAAAATGTTAATCATGTGTACAAAAAATCGTGTACATCATTGAAAAATGTTCATATAATTCAAAAAAGTTCTCCCTCGGTAAGGAAATATAGGAGAATTCAGAATACTACTTTGGTGATCTAAAAGCTTTTATATTTGTTTACAGGGGGAGTATATGTTACATTAAGAAATGTTCACAAGTTTACAAAAATGTGTTCGGGAGATTTTCAGTAACTATTTGTAAAATTTATAATAAAACATTGTGCATAGTTCAGAAAAAATGTTTTTATCACGAAAGAAAATTGAACTGCGTATTTTAAGAAAACATGTATTTGATAAATGTTCAAAGCATGTATTCGTAATAACGTTAAAACATTATTTGGAAAATTTTAAACATTTATAAATTATGTTTATATGTAGAAGAGAAAATTACAACATTTACGAAAAAAGTAGAGACGAAAACTTATATTAAAAATTGTTAATCATTGTAAAATGTTAAACATGTGTGAAAAATTGTTACTAATATATACAAAAGAAATGTACATTATATATAAAAAATGTAGACATGCGTTGAAAATAAAAAAATAGGAAAACTGATAAGAAAACTGTAAAAACCGACAAAGAAACAAAAGAAAAGAAAAAAAAACAAAGAAACAAAGAAGAAAATGGAAACAAACGAATGTAGAACATATTATAAGGAACATAGAAAGTATAACAAAAAATCAATGAGGAAGAAAGGAAAACCAAAGCAAGATAAAGAAAAAAAGGGAAACCACTGAAAACTGATGAATTTTTTTAATAAATAAACAAAAGATAACCAAAGTGGTAGGAAACCATAGTAAACCTGACTTACAGCGACAGCTATGAGCTGAGAAAATGTTAATGCAGCATTAAAAACTATTGGTGCAACTTTAAATTTTAGATATAATTAAAAAATGAATGTTCTTACATTTTAAAAAATGTACTTGCCATTTAAAAAATGTTTATACAATATACAAAGTAGTTCATGTAATTTTTAGAAATCCCATGTGAAAGCAAGTATGTGATATTTTAAAAAAATGTTCACATATTTCTAAATGTATGCTCTTGGCATTAAAAGATGTTACGTTTAATTTGTACTGCAGGTCACATTTGTGACGAACAAGCACTAGAACACACAGGAGACGAAATATGTAGCCTTTGAAGATTTGTCGTTTTGCTGATACAATTTATAGTTTAAAAAATTGGATCGCACTGTACTGAAAATATGTTCTTGTCCATCAATAAATATGTATATATTGGATAAAAGCTACTTCCTTTGTTCATAAATATAAGATGTTTTAACTTTTTTTTGAGTCAGAGATGTATATAGACACGATTTAGTATGTTTGCTCACTCATGTCAGCCCGTATGTAGTCCATAGTGAAATATCTAAAACATATAGTATTTGTGAACGGAGGGAGTACAAAGTTGGATGGCACTGTACTGAAAATATGTAGCCAGTTTAGGGAGTGTTTGCACTGAAATCCGCAGTGATTTCCATAAAAAGGGGCATGCAATTTTGTACTACCTCTGTACCGAAATACTTGTGGCTGGGGAAACTAATACATGTTCTTCCAACTACAAGTATTTTGGTACAGATGGAGTATATGCAAGTTTTTAAGGCATGGGTTGCTTATCAATGGATCGTGTTCATTTTTCTGAAAATCTTAAATTTTGGATCATGTTGAATGCTGAGGAACTCTCAAAATAGGCTTTCATTCCGCTTTATATATAAAGCAACAATCGAACGTAGTACATGGTCAAACGATACAAGGTGAAGAGGTAGCCCTCTTTCAAAGTTTGAGATGGCAAGTGTAGGTGCTATGTACTGTTTTCAATGAACCAATAAAATGCATTGGCTATTTTCTACTCAGATTTGTTTGTTATTTCTAATGGAACAGGAAAATACTTCTGAAACGATTATAATTTCGACTTGAGATTTTAGTTGTTTATGTAGACAGTAAAACTCTAGCTGTTATTTGCTAGATGGGTCGGTACCAACCCAACATTGAACAAAGAAGTTAAGGAATTGAGGTGATGTTGTTTCTTTCCAGTTAATTATAGGGTGATATATAAGTATGCACATGCTTTCCAAGTTTGATGATATGTTTGAACCAGTAAGTATGCCTAAATCTTCCAACTACTGATAGTTATATTTGGTTAAGTAGCATAGCATGATAGCAAGCAGGACAAGGAGTACTGCTACCATAGATATATGGAAATTTGTGGTTGTATTTTGTATGACCAGTGGAAAATATATACCGGGAAGAATCATGTATGCAATGATGCATGCGTTCTTTAGTTTTGAAATGGTTCTCAAGATTGGCGTCTATATGATGAGCCATGGAGTGCACAAGGTTCCTATCACATATATAGGAGTAGTGATTTTCACCTTATTTCAATATTATTGTGATCAGTATCTGCTAGACAAACACATTTTAAAGCACCTAATGCAAGTAAAGTTTTTTAGTGGTAAATTACTTTTCAGGTTTCTAAACTTGTTTTGAGCACAAGGTTTCTAAACACATACTTCTATATTCTGTATAACTGGAATCCATGACTTTTTGGCTTTTAGAAAGTGTGAAGCTACTAAAATTTGTGTGTCCCCGTTGCAACGCACGGGCCCTTTTATAACAAACAAAACGCGCCGATCGTTGTCTGCCCGGTCGCTCTCGCCGTTCCAATCACGCACCGCTTCATCCTTCATAGTCTCTATCGCTGTGTGGGCACCAAGGACGGGCGCTAACGTCCACACAAACCGGCGCTCCCATTGACCAAAACGAGCGCTGACGTGGACACGAACCTACACTCCCGTTGGCCAAAATGAACAGTAAGGCCCTGTTTGGTTCATAAGTCCTATGACTTTTTTTAGTCCCAACTTATAAGTGTCAAGTCCCTAAACAGTCCCTACTTGTTTGGTTCCTGGGACTTATAAGTCCCTATAAGACCATATTACAACTATAAGTCCTTATAAGTCCCTCCTTGAGAGTCTTATTTCATAAGTTTCAAATGTCCACTTTAAGTCCCTATAAGTCCCTCCTGTTTGATTTAGATGGGACTTACAGGGACTTTTTTAAGTCCCTAAGCCAATAAGTCTCTGAAAACAAACACCCTCTAAACCTGCTGCCGATGGGGACATCGCAAGGAGGCACTCTTCTCCAGACGCTTATTGTGTTTGATTACAGATGTTCACACTCCGCACCACGTATTCCTGGTGCTTGGTAGAGCATAAACAAGTCAAGGAGTTCAATTAAGAGCCGGGTAACGACAACTGTTAATCTCCGCTTAAACTAAACCTCCGCATAAGCCCAAGGCTACGAGTTCCCAAGGAGCCAGTTTCAAACGGCCAGCTGGGTTCAGATCTGACCTCGGGGATGCGCATACAGACACAGCTCTAGTTTAGTTTATGACGCCCGAGGCGGCATCCAACGCGCATCTTTTGAACAACTTATTGTAGTACGTCCATGGGGACCGGCCATGCCATGCTTTCACGTGATCGCCATCTTCACAATGCACAAACTACCCATCTAGTAGTACATGCTTACATACCGCTGACTAGTTTTACGCTCCCCGCAGATCTAGTGCACCTCCCCACAAGCAACCCAACTAGGCACATCCATCACGCAAAGGTAGCCTGCTCATGGCTATGCATCTGGTGACTGGTGCCATGGGCAGCCTGCTCCCCAAGCTGGGCGAGCTGCTCATGGAGGAGTACAACCTGCACAAGCGCGTCAAGAAAGACATTGAGTTCCTCCAGAACGAGCTTGAGAGCATACACTATGCTCTCATCAAGGTTGGTGAGGTGCCGCGGCACCAGCTTGACAAATACGTCAAGCTCTGGGCTGATGAGATCAGAGATCTCTCCTACAACATGGAGGACATCGTCGACAAGTTCCTTGTGCATGAAAACGCCGAAAATTTCAAGGGGCTCACGAAGAAGATGATCGGCATGTCCAAGAAAGGCAAGAGTCACCATGAGATAGCTGATGCCATCAAGGTTTTCAAGGTGCACCTCCGAGAGGTGGCTGCTAGGCATGACAGGAACAAGGTCGATGGTATTGCTCCTAATCCCGCCAAAGCAACTGCTATTGATCCTCGTGTCCATGCTCTGTACACAGAAGCGACAGAACTCGTTGGCATCTATGGGAAGAGTGATCAAGACCTCATGAGTTTGCTCTCCTTCGAGACCGACTGTGGCGCCTCTAGCAAGAGTCTGAAGAAGGTCTCCATCGTTGGATTTGGTGGGTTGGGCAAGACCACTCTTGCTAGAGCAGTGTACGAGAAGATTAAAGGTGATTTTGATTGTGGGGCATTTGTCTCTGTCGGTCAGAATCCAGGCGTCGCGAAGGTTTTAAGAGATATCCTTGTTGATCTTGGGAACTCTAGAGCAGATGTCGCTATATTGGATGAAAGGCAGCTTATCAACAAGCTATGTCAATTCCTTGAGAACAAAAGGTATGCATCGTTTACAGAAAAATACCACTATGATGATATGTTTGTTTCCTATGCTAGTTTTACAACTAATAATGCACAACTATGATGGTATATTTGTTTCCTTGCTTAGGCATAGCTTAGGTCTTGTATGGTTTTCTTCTTCCTCAACGTGTTTTTTGTTTTGTGTGTGTGCGTTAGTGTTGGTTGTGTGCATCTTAGTGATGCAGAGGCCGGGTGTGCGCTCATTATATTCGTATCCTCTGATGCTTCATTTCGACTCAATAAAACCCGTCCATTGTTGAAAAACAATATCATAATATCATGTAGAACCTGTTCAATTTCTTTAGAAAGGCTACCTTTGCTAACATATGTAGTTTGCACTAAACTGCAAACGTTATATGCACTTAGTTCCAAGATTTTATAAGTATATAAGTTTGACCATCCCCTCTATCTAAACTCCTTATTCTAAATAAATAGTTCTCCCTCCATTTCCTTTTACTTTGCATATACGATTTTTCTGAAGTCAAACTTCACAATTGAATCAAATCTATTTTTATAACTATCAACATCTACTATAATAAAGTTATACAATATGAAAGTTAATTGCATGATGCATCTAATAATATTGAGTTGATATATGAATTTTGATATTTTTTCTTTAATCTTAGTCAAACTATATGAAGTTTGTCTTTAGAAAAAGTTTATATGATAAGTAAAAGAAACTGGAGGGAGTAATTAAATACTTCTTGTTGCAAGCGTTTTTGTCACTCAAACATATTTTCATTGGTCTAAGAAATCCATCTCAACATTGTGCATAAAACATATAAATAGTGAGCATAATGACTGTTGTAGAAAATAATACACCAACAATTGCAAGTAAAGGAATGAAAAACTTAGTTCTTTCTTTATCCTCACCCACTGCGTTTTAAAATGAAGATTTTAAAACGTGCATCGTCCACCAAAGTTGAATCTGATTGTATGTTGGATTGATAGAGCAACCAAGAAGTCAGCAGAATATACACGGAGGAATGGGTGATTTGATCATGTGCCCCATTTTATATTGACGGTTGATGATTTTCCTTGCCTTATCTAGTGGAAGGTGGCCCCACATGAATGATTAGGGGGGGGGGGGTCGGCAAATCGGTACTCGGGACTTTCCGATAGATTTACCTAAAAACTGTAATATTGGAAACATTGTAACTAATTGCATTTCTTCATATGTTCATCAATCCAGCAATTTGCTCTGTGTTTCTCTCCCTTGAATCTTATACTTTACTTATTTTTTTCCATAATGTTTGTTCAAGATCATGTTATTGTGTTTCAGATGCACATTTCCTGTTAGTTTGTTTGCGGACATACACATCTAGAAACATTGTATATTCATATGGCCCTCTACTTTGTCATGTGTATAGACCTTGCACTAAATATCTGAACTGATGTAGGTACCTCATCATAATTGATGACCTATGGGATGAAGAATTGTGGAAATGCATAAACTTTGCTTTCTCTAACAGAAATAATCTAGGCAGTCGTATAATCACCACAACACGCATTGTCAGTGTCTCTGAATCATGTTGCTCGTCTGCTGATGACTCAATTTATAAAATGAGACCACTTTCTATTGAAGATTCCAGAAGGCTCTTTTATAAAAGAATATTTCATGATGACAGTGGATGTCCAATTCAATTTGAAAAAGTGTCTCAAGATATATTGAAAAAATGTGATGGGGTACCACTAGCCATCATTACCATTGCTAGTGTTTTGGCTAGTGGCCAGCAGATCAAACCAAAGTGTGAGTGGGATACTATACTCCAGTCCTTTGGCTCCGGACTAATAGAAGATAACAGTTTAGAGGTGATGCGGAGAATATTAGCTTTAAGCTATTATGATCTACCCTCTCATCTGAAATGTTGTCTATTGTACCTATGTATATATCCAGAAGACAAGCGCATTGATAGAGATAAACTGATATGGAAGTGGGTGGCTGAAGGATTTATCCACCATGGAAATCAAGGAACTAGCTTATTTTTGCTCGGATTAAATTACTTCAACCAACTCATCAATAGAAGCCTAATCCAACCAATATATGATGATATTGGCAATGTAGAGGCTTTCCGTGTATGTGATATGGTTCTTGATCTTATCTGCCACTTGTCACATGAAGAAAATTTTGTTAATGTATCAAATGTCACAGGGGATACCATGTCTTCTCGAAGCAATGTTCGTCGTTTGTCCCTTCAAAAGAGAATTGAAGCTCATCAAGCAAGACCTCTCATAAATTGCATGAGTATATCACAAGTGAGATCCATTACTATCTTTCCACCTGCTATTGATATCATGCCAGCAATGTCAGGGTTTAAAGTTTTACGTGTACTTGATTTGTCGCACTGTGATCTGGGGGAAAGTAGCAGCCTGCAACTTAACCTGAAGGGTGTTGGACAATTAATTCACCTAAGGTACCTTGGTCTAGGAGGTACTAATATTAGTGAACTCCCGGATGAGATAGGGAACCTGCAGTTTTTGGAGGTGTTGGATCTTGAATTCTATTATGAGCTACATGAATTGCCGTCAACTGTTTGCAACTTGAGAAGATTAATCTGCCTACATGCTAATATATGTCAGGTGGCTCCGGGTGTGTTGGAGAATCTTATATTAATAGAAGTATTGAAGACTTTCATGGCTGCCTCTGTGAGTACTGTGCAAGAGCTTGGCAACCTGGCAAGGCTGAGGGAGCTTGGGATTTGCTTCACAGATTCTAGTTTGGCTTTGTATGAAGGTTTCGTGCATTCTCTGTGTAAACTACATCATATTGAAAGTCTACTTATTAATTCCCATTCCAGAGAAACATCTCTAGAACTGATGGATCTCTTGGGAGAATGTTGGGTGCCTCCTCAACATCTTCGCATGTTTCAGTCAGACATGCCTAGCCAACTCTCTACGCTGCGAGCGTGGACAAATAGAGACCCCTCGCATCTCTCAAATCTCTCCGAGTTAAGCCTCATGTCAGTGATGGAAGTACAACAGGAAGACTTGGAAATCATTGGGGGTTTGCTGGCCCTTCGTCGTCTCTGCATAAAGAGCACCCACCAAACACAGCGGCTGCTAGTCATCGGTGCAGATAGCTACTGTTGTTTGGTAGCCTTTGAGTTGGATTGTGGGCCAGCAGCGCAAATAATGTTTGAACCCGGAGCTTTGCCAAGTGCGGAAGCAATTACATTCAGCCTAGGCATGCGGGTGGCTAAAGAGGATGGCAACTATGGTTTCGACTTGGGCCTGCAGGGGAACTTGCTCTCTCTTCGGCGACATGTCTGGGTTTATATCTTTTGTGGTGGAGGGAGTGTTGGGGAGGCCAAGGAAGCAAAGGCTGCAGTGAGACACGCCCTCCACGCCCATCCCAACCATCCCCGCATATATATTGATATGTTCCCTCGTATAGCAAAAGGTAACCATATATATACCGCACATAACTAGTGCATTTACGTAGTGTTTTCTCAACAAAGGACTGACCTTATTGCATTCTGCATGGATTTGATCTCTAAATCTCCCAAGGTGCTCATAATGATGATTTGTGTGATTAATGGAAGGAGAACTGATTTCTGGCACAGAACCGACTGTCATTGCACAGATGTGCTGTTGGTATGTACGTATTTACTTTCTATTTTTCACAGTCTGTGCTTCTCATGTCTAGACCTCAGTTTGTCAGCTCCATTGATCAACTTCGCTTCACTGTTGGATTTATTAGATATAAAAGTTATTACTAGTTCTACTAAGATGTTTTTGTTACAACTAAAAGGGTTGTCTCCAACGCAAGGCCTTTTACGTTCAGTAAATTTTATCTTATTTCATACGTGAAAATGGAACGTAAGAAAATACATAATCGCTGTAAATTTTTTTACGTTATGTAAAATTACAAACGTAAAAAGACTGTAAAATATACGTAAAATGTAAATTTTCTATTCTTATGGCTTATATTTTTGTTTTCTTATGCGAAATTTTACATAGTCAATCAATATAAATATAACTATTTGTATCCTAATGTAATTTATTTATGAAACGATCGTAAGATTACCTTGGGTGAAGAATAACGTATTATGCACCCTGGGTGGTGAATAGTATTACTATATATAGGGAGAGAGAGAGAGACACCGGATCAATCTTTGTATTTTGTTTCTCAGACAAGGTTGGTTAGGAAAATATGTCAATACCAATTAGGATAGGAACATAAACGAACCATGACACGGCGTATGTACACTGGTACGCCTATTTATTATATTTTCTTTCTCCTTTCTTTTTCCATTTCTAGAGTTCAGCTTATTGTTGCATTGGTCAATTATGCTTCACTAGTAGCTATGAAAATTAGAAAAATGTGAAATTTTTACAGAAGTTGCGTAGCATATCTGAGAGAAGTGAACTTGGCACAGGTTGATGAAAGCTAAGGATCCTTTTATGCAGTTTCGTAGAAGGATAGTTGGTAACGGAGAGAGAACTAGATTTTGGGAAGATTTTAAGATAGCGGATGTCTTTCTAACTGATCTGTACTCCAGGTCGAGGTTGTACCACTTTGTCTTTATGTAAAGCATATCTCTGTAGCTAGAGTGCTAGCTAGGTGTACTACCTCCTTCCACTGTCCTAAAACTTACTCCCTCCGTTCGGAATTACTTATCGTAGAAATGGATGTATCTAGAGGTATTTTAGTTATAGATACATCCATTTCCGAGACAAGTAATTCCGAACGGAGGGAGTAGAAGGGAGAACCTGCTGAGATATTGTATCCATTATTGTCTGATTATGAAGATTTTGTCTGACAAATTAACAAGATTCATGCAAATGGTTTTTAGAGAAATGGAGTATTTTCTGTGCAATCTATGTATATAACTTTGAAAGCTCAACAAATGAAATGACCCTGTAGAAAATGTTGGCATGTAAAAGTTCAACTGAAGAACAAAGTATTCCTATGGTTACCATTCCGAAATAGTATCTGAATCAGAGGTAATGTGAATCTTAATAGGCAATGTTGTACAGAAAAAAAATGTGTTCCTTTTGCAGTAGAAAAGAGTCGATGCACAATACCTTCGTTAAGTGTCCAGCTGGAATATTTGGAACATTGGACAGTGTGCTTTTTATTTATACAGTTCCCATTAGCATGGACTGATTTTCTGATTGGATGATAAATTTCATGGGTAGCCATCGATTCCATCTGTTTAGTAGATAATATTGCATACTGGATGGTCCATTGGTCTAGCTTACAGTGAAAAGACTTGCGCTTTGTGCAGGTAGCAGAGCGGGCAGGCTGGTGGCATCCGAGATGTTTCACAAACATTTGGTGGGCGTATATTGCAAAGAATTGAAGGATAAAAAAGTTCTGACCTTTGCTAGAAGTCGTGTGAGGAACTTTGTTTAAATGACAGTCGGTTGCATAAAAATATATTGCTTTATTTTGTAATACATTAAGTCAAGGTGTTGGAGTGAGTTGTTCTCTTACAAGGATCATTGTTGCTTTGTTTTGCATAAATATAACAAAACCTATGGGCTCATATGCAATTTTTTCATGTAACTTGCTTTGAAATATCTTAGATATAGTATATTGATATATATATAGTATGATAAGGTAGTATATATACTACTACATGATAATATACGAGATATGGGGTAACTACTACCGGGTGGTAGGATATGTGTAGTAGTACTTTTTGCGAGTAGTATAGTAGTAGTATTATTATTAGGTAAAGATAAAGATTTACACATGGGTATTTTTTGATCCATACCCTTCCCAAATAGGACTTTTACCCGCCGGGTACGTGGATAATGGTACCCATTGCCAGCGCCGGGCCCATAGTGGTGCCAAATGTGCGGCCCGCACAGGCTCATAATTTTCGGGGCCTCAGATCTTTTATATAGACCTAGTATTTCTAAAAAAAATCCTAGGCTATGCCGCAATGGGCCGCTGGGCACTGGAACTGGGCCTGAGTCTAAGCCATGGACCGCTGGTTCAACGCGGTGACTATCGTTTAGTCTTAAAAAGAAACGTTATCGCGGGAAGTAGGGGTGGAACCCTGGTCTCCAGCGGGATCATGAGCTGATCTAGCCACCCCACCCAAGTTCGTTTCATTTAAATAAGGTAGTATATATATACTACTACATGATAGTATATGAGACATGGGTTAATTACTACTGGATGGTAGGATGTGTATAGTACTATTTTTTTTGCGGGTAGTATAGTAGTAGTATTATTATTAATTAGCTAAAGATAAAGATTTACTCATAGGTATGTTTTTGATCCATACCCTTCCTAAATAGGACTTTTACCCGTCGGGTACGTGGATAACGGTACCCATTGCCAGCGTGGGGCC